CCAAAGAAAGTGCCCCACCACCAGTTGTGGAGTGTAAAAAAATGAAATAAAAAAAAAAAGAAACTCAGGTCCTCCTCCTTTGTCAAAACAAAAGAGCAGCGTTGGGGAAAAACAGTCGCTTAGGAGAAACAATGTTGCCTCTTCATTTTAAACTCGCTTTGTGAAAGTTTCACTCCCTAATATTCGATATTAGTGAAGTTACAATCTAACGTCTTCATTCATGTACCGGTTTCACATTTACAGAGGTCGGTGACAAGGCTTGAAATGCGCGAAACAAGAGTCACACTCAGGCAAGCTGACGCGTATTGCTAGCCGACCGGCTAACTTCCTTAGCCAGCTAGCTACAACACCGGGCTAACCGGCTAGCCGTGTTCGTTGCTCTGACTTCACCAATTAAGAGAACGAAAGCTGCTGCCAAATTATAACTGACTGGACACAGAAATGACACGTATTTTCAATGGTTTCGTTGTTACAATTTCACCAAAATGTACATTATTTTCCGTCGAGTGCCTCTTTGCCAAGTTGGGGTAGCAGTCATGCAAAGCTCCACAAAATAACACATGCGTTATCCGGTCTTTGTTTTAAATAAATTCTAGTCAACATATTAAAATGGTTAGATACAAGTTTCACTCAGTGTACCGTGTACTATAAACACAAATATGGAAATCTAAAATACATCTCAATGGAAACACATTTTATGTAAAGCATGTGATTTCTGAAAATGTAATCTTGATAAATTGCATGCTTCAACTTTGAAGGCAAACTCTGCATCGCTTCCGTTTTCTTTGGCCTAACATTAACCACATGACAACTTTAGGATGAAGCGTCCACTGAGACCCGGGTTGAAAGATCCCGCCTTCTAACAGTTCTAACCAATCACCGTGCTTGTTTGTGAAAACCTAGGTTCTTATTGGTAGGAATATTGGCCGGTCTCGGAGTCACATTTGCCGCCTACAGCATGGCAAGGTAGGTCTATATAAGGTCAAAGACACAAAAGGTCATTAGAATTAATAAGTATCAGTGGTGGGAAGTAACTAACTACAAATTTACAAGTAATCACCGCATATATGAAAAAATGATAAAAACTATGTATATTATATAATTCGTTGTCATTTTTTATTAACAGTTTGTATCAGTAGATGTGGCACAAATATCTACATAACCTCAGACAAGCACACTCTAAAACTTATTTTGAGAAACAATGACTTCTGATTCAAATCTGGACACACCTTGAATACTGTGTGATGTCAATAATTTCTCCAGATATGGCTCAAAACAAGCACTGTACTGCCTGCACATGACTAAAAAGTTAGAAATAGTGAGAACTAAAATAGCTCATGTGCACAGTACTTACAGTTCAGTATTATAACAATTTAATTGCATAATTTCTGCATCATGGTGTTCTACAAAGCTACAGCTTCCTGATTTAAAACAACTTGCTGTATTTACTAGTAAAATGTTTTATGATGATGAAGCAGGCTCTGACTTTTGGCCCTTTGCGAATTGTCTATTTATTTAACACAAAAACATTCAAAATAACAGGGAACAAAAAGGTTCAAAGAGAAGCAAGTGGGGAAAATATGATTTATTATTCAGACACATTTCCTTTAAAACTATTCATGGGGGTTTGTCAGAGTAACGTGCAGCAGTACATACAGTATAGTGGTAATGAAGCCCAGGGTGTAAGCAGGTGGAACAGAGAAAAAAGTGACTAAAACTAGATTAAATCATTAGTTCACATTTGTAATATATATAAAGAAAACACATGAAACCTGGATGACAGATTGGACAGTGTTGGTAAAAGTGTAAACATGAACACAATAAACTCACACACAAGCCTTTTCACAAAACATTAAACAACACTAAATAAAGTAAATTTCAAAGTCCCCCATCTCTGATACTTTATCCTCAGTATGAGATATAAGAAAGAAATCACATATCAAGCATAATTAATTTCCCAGTGCCTGAAATTCATCAAAGTGGCTTATTGTGCTTATCCTGTTATTCCAGGTCTGTCACTTGGAACAGGATACTTAATGTACAAGCAGCCAAAGGCATTTTTGAGATTTTCTTTTTTAAAATCTCTGCTGTGATTTTAATCTTTACTGCAACAGCACAAGAAGCTCACTTCCAGACAATTAATTGACTCTGACTGTTAAAGCCACTGCTTGCTCTTCTCACATCTCAAAGCGATGTCTGAAGTGCTGGATTCAGCCCAATTGCACAGGTGACCCCTCAGTCTGACCACACATACATTCCCATCAAAGCACGGCTGTGCCCCTGTAACATCAAGGCCTGACACCAACCTTTAAGAGTGCAACACACCATTTAGTGTTTAGTGGGAAAGTATCCCAACAGAGAGGACAAATTATGAAAACAAGAAAGCATCAGCTGCTAATAGTTTTTTGGGCCTGCTGTCTCAAGATTGCAACTGTTTTGTTTTTTTTAACTTAATATGCTAAGAGAGGGGTCGGCAACTAGCATCAACCAGGCACCAGTTTGATGTACAGATGCAGTGACAACACAGGCCTGTTCTGTATGCTTTCTTTTAATTAATTTAAGAATAAAATTGATTCATAAAACAATTTTAGTAGTGTATCTGAAGGCATATGTCATGACTCCCATCAGTAGGTTTGCTCTTAAGAGTTATAGCAGCTTATGTATAATCTCATTCTGCAAAAAAAAAAAAAAAACAAAAAAAAGTAGTTTCAGTAAAAATTTTCCACACATGATTAACAGTATTTGCCCCATTTGAAACTGCAATTTTGTTCCAGTCAAACAGCAAAATTGTATTGCTATTTGTATTGTTATTTATCTTAGACTTCATTTAGGGTCATTCATTATTGGTAAATGTTGATGTTATATTAATTGTATGATGTATTTATTATAAATTGTGACATCCAGAAACCCTATTAAACTGGTAAGTGAAAACTACAGCTCTTGTTAACTGGAAAAATATTTATGTTGGAGGTCCAGATTCCAAGTTAATAGCCTTAGATACACTGTATATTAATAAGCACTTCAAAAAACTGATTTCAAATGATTCAATTGTTATTACCAACTATGTCTACATGCCTTCACCCTTCACCTCACACTGTGAAGGTGTTCAAATTAATGGCAGTATCCCAGAGGACTTTTCTAGACAGTCAAGTCTTTCAAGCTTGGCAAAAAAAGTGCAAAGTTACCTTGTTATCATTTTGTATTGATGTGGACAACAGTCTGTAGACACCATTCTATGCCAGTTTAACATCCAAAACATGGCGACAGACGGGGAAAACAAATCAAGTGCCCACTAACTGAAGGGTACCTGACAAGTCATTTGAGACCATGTCCTTATGGTGTGGCGTTACTCGGTTTGGTTGCCCATCAGTGCTTCTGACCTCATCTGGGACATCCCAAACGTTCTGAACATGCATGATCCCAAGCATGAGAAGCTGTATGAGCCAGACTCTCACTCTGGCCAACATCTTGATCAAAACTACCCTGGGTAATACAACATATTGTGCAATAAATGAACATCAAGTGGGTGCATCTGTCAGCAAAGTTTAATGTTTTCTCCATAGTATGTAGGTCATGAGCAGGATAAGACCTGCTGACAGGGCTGCGATCACAAACTGGTGAATAGAGAGGACATTTTCCAGTGTGTGGATCCTCTCCTCCATGGCACTGGTGTGGAAGTAGTCATAGATGCCAGCTCCAATGCTCCACAGCACCCACACAGCATCCACCACCAGTGGCATGGTGAAGCAGACTGGGACTCTCAGCTGCTGCAGATCAGACAGACTGTCAAAGACTGTGAAACAAAAACACAAGACACAACAAGTTTTCAACACTGAGCAAGATTTGACATTTTAATTTAGTTGTGTTTTACCCACAGGAATATTTCAAAAGTGTACTCGGAATCATAGACTAGACCACTGCTGTTTTGCTGTTGTAATGCTTTGTTAACCTGCATTACATATCACTGAGCTGATTATATATATATATATAAGGGGCCCTATACGAAATCTAAACGTTATGTTCATATAATTAAACCTATTTGAAATGAAGAAACATATGACATGAAGGAAGCTTTGATTCGTGGTTACCTTATATATAAGCACGGCTTTATTAATGTTTAAATAATTTGCCATAAAAGTAATGACATCATGTGGTTATGTATGAACTTCCATGACTACTTGAATGTCTAGGTAAATGATGTAAAGTGAACAAAATTACTAGATGCTGAATCGATCATCTGCTAGCGAGCTGGCTAGCTATTTAACGCTAGCATGTATACAGCTTGTCTCTGTACTGGCCTTTCCAGAAAATTTGTCCTTTTACTTACCGCATTAGCTACTCCTTATTGCGCCAAGAACCGCACCATCTTCTCATCTCATTCTGCAAAAAAAAAAAAAAAACAAAAAAAAGTAGTTTCAGTAAAAATTTTCCACACATGATTAACAGTATTTGCCCCATTTGAAACTGCAATTTTGTTCCAGTCAAACAGCAAAATTGTATTGCTATTTGTATTGTTATTTATCTTAGACTTCATTTAGGGTCATTCATTATTGGTAAATGTTGATGTTATATTAATTGTATGATGTATTTATTATAAATTGTGACATCCAGAAACCCTATTAAACTGGTAAGTGAAAACTACAGCTCTTGTTAACTGGAAAAATATTTATGTTGGAGGTCCAGATTCCAAGTTAATAGCCTTAGATACACTGTATATTAATAAGCACTTCAAAAAACTGATTTCAAATGATTCAATTGTTATTACCAACTATGTCTACATGCCTTCACCCTTCACCTCACACTGTGAAGGTGTTCAAATTAATGGCAGTATCCCAGAGGACTTTTCTAGACAGTAAAGTCTTTCAAGCTTGGCAAAAAAAAGTGCAAAGTTACCTTGTTTATCATTTTGTATGGATGCGGACAACAGTCTGTAGACACCATTCTATGCCAGTTTAACATCCAAAACATGGCGACAGACAGGGAAAACACATCAAGTGCCCACTACCTGAAGGGTACCTGACAAGTCGGTTTAACATCCAAAACATGGCGACAGACGGGGAAAACAAATCAAGTGCCCACTAACTGAAGGGTACCTGACAAGTCATTTGAGACCATGTCCTTATGGTGTGGCGTTACTCGGTTTGGTTGCCCATCAGTGCTTCTGACCTCATCTGGGACATCCCAAACGTTCTGAACATGCATGATCCCAAGTGTGAGAAGCTGTATGAGCCAGACTCTCACTCTGGCCAACATCTTGATCAAAACTACCCTGGGTAATACAACATATTGTGCAATAAATGAACATCAAGTGGGTGCATCTGTCAGCAAAGTTTAATGTTTTCTCCATAGTATGTAGGTCATGAGCAGGATAAGACCTGCTGACAGGGCTGCGATCACAAACTGGTGAATAGAGAGGACATTTTCCAGTGTGTGGATCCTCTCCTCCATGGCACTGGTGTGGAAGTAGTCATAGATGCCAGCTCCAATGCTCCACAGCACCCACACAGCATCCACCACCAGTGGCATGGTGAAGCAGACTGGGACTCTCAGCTGCTGCAGATCAGACAGACTGTCAAAGACTGTGAAACAAAAACACAAGACACAACAAGTTTTCAACACTGAGCAAGATTTGACATTTTAATTTAGTTGTGTTTTACCCACAGGAATATTTCAAAAGTGTACTCGGAATCATAGACTAGACCACTGCTGTTTTGCTGTTGTAATGCTTTGTTAACCTGCATTACATATCACTGAGCTGATTATATATATATATATAAGGGGCCCTATACGAAATCTAAACGTTATGTTCATATAATTAAACCTATTTGAAATAAAGAAACACATGACATGAAGAAAGCTTTGATTCGTGGTTACCTTATATATAAGCACGGCTTTATTAAGGTTTAAATAATTTGCCATAAAAGTAATGACATCATGTGGTTATGTATGAACTTCCATGACTACTTGAATGTCTAGGTAAATGATGTAAAGTGAACAAAATTACTAGATGCTGAATCGATCATCTGCTAGCGAGCTGGCTAGCTATTTAACGCTAGCATGTATACAGCTTGTCTCTGTACTGGCCTTTCCAGAAAATTTGTCCTTTTACTTACCGCATTAGCTACTCCTTATTGCGCCAAGAACCGCACCATCTTCTCACTATCCGATTACTAAACATGCAACTTTCACTTCATCGTGTTAAACCTGTAGTCACCATGCTCCAAAGAACTAGTGAAATGGAAACCCCATCTGCCGTGAACCATCTCAGCTAACGTTACTTCCGGATGTGTTCTCCGTCAACATGTCCCTTTCTTTCCTTCGCACGCTTACGGCCAGTAAGGTAACGTTACACCGAACTTCATTTCGAGATTTAACGCTTTTATGACTTCGACGGCAATGAAAAAATATATGCGATAAATCATTACCTAACACGTTGTATAATCATTAATGCAATCTGCGGGGACATTCGGTTGCATACAAGAATTCTGTCAAGCTGCATTTTTGACATTAATGTCACGTGTCATTAGCTCTCATTAGCTGGTGTAGCGTCGACTAGAGAAGATAGAAAATACACAGCTAGCACAGACAGATCCTTTCCAAAACTTTCCTAAGGCTTAATTTCACGAATTTCTGAATCAAACGGTATATATTTTAAATGCAGCTTGGAATTATTAACCCTTCATTAGGCGAGCAAATCGATTTCATAAAGTCGAGCAGCTAACATGTCTCAAACTCCCTATGAACACATGCCAAGTAAGTGTACATGATCTTACTTCAAATTAATACACTGTCAGCAATTTCAAATGCAAGGCGCGGTGGCCAAGTGGTAAGGCGTCGGTCTCGTAAACCGAAGATCGCGGGTTCGAACCCCGTCCGTGCCTGAGAAAGGGTAATCCAACGAGAGCTTTTTTTTCCTTACAATCCTTTACAGAAGTACTTTTTACAAATTAAGGTCCTTTGTGTACAAGGATAGGGATATAGGCTAAATATGTACACAATATATGCATATATCGGCTACACACACTATACAGTATTAATGCAGCCCTATGATGTAAAAAAGTAGAAATCAAACTGTATAATGGTTTAGCATACACTATACTGTAATGTGATAGATACAATACTAACAGCTTTTACTACTTTAAAAATGATAATCACATACATGAGAAAGCATAAAATTCATATGATTTTTAAATATGCTAGAAAAAGTACTCCGAATTATTTGGAGATTTTAGCATTTAATCTAGAAATATTGGTTAATGAACACAGTTTAAGTTATTTTTATGTACAGTATAATTAAGTATAGTTATTCTAATTATTATTTAAGTAAAATGGCTAGTTTTATCCAAATTGTAGAAACATAACTACCCCAACATGTATGCCATAAACTGCATTATACCTTATTATTCCACCACAACAGAATATAAGCATATATTTTTACCAAACTGAAAAGAATTACAGTGTGACAAAGTAAAAATTAATCTTTATCATTTCATTTATTGACATTGATGCAGTTTAATCATCAAATCATCTTCTTCATATTTGTCATACAGGTGCAGTGTGGCTACATTGACTGCAAAACCTTCTATTGCCCTGTTGCCTACACCATTCCAGCATGTCATGTGTGAGCATTATATCTACAGCTCACGTTTAACAACATCTACTTCCCCATGAATTTGAAGTTCTGTTATTTCCCAGTCAAAAACATTTCCTCTTGGTACTCTCTTCCCAGAGAAGATGTCTTGGATGTTGCTGTCTGACAGGACAGAGTCCCACATATTGACATCACAGATCTCCCCTACAAAACTCTGTTTGATGTCAAAACCACCCTGGAAACTGTCTAGATCTTGTCCAAGGACAACCCTGCCTGAGGGGCTGATAGCATGACCCTTCCTGTAGATTTTAGTCAAGCTTTTCTTCCCGTCCATGAAGAGGGTAGTCGCACCGGAACTGGAATCCCAGGTGACACACAGGTGGGTCTCTAGGGCACCAAGCTGAGGAACATCGAACATGACAGGATCCCCACTCAAGTAGAGAGACAGTCTAAATACAGATATAAAATTCATTTTATATCATGTTTCAGAGATTCAGAGAGTTTAACCCTGCAAAATAAAATAGCATCAAAGGAAGCAGACTTGTAGGTGTCAGTAGAATCAGTGGAACCTATTTTGTAGATTTCATCAGTTCAATGCATTACCTTTACTGTGTGCTAATGTAAAATTCTATGTCTTAATTGTATTGCACTAATGGCATTAGGTAAGAGTAGCTATAGAAGTGCTTTTAGTAGTAATAGTGATGTGAGGGGCATTTCTGGCATGAAAATGGTGAAATAAATAAGAATATTGTCACAAATAATAATATAAGAATGATAATAAACTAAGAATATAATATAGTATTAATAATATAAGAATATTAATAATAATATAAGAAGGTTTTCTACCTGCCGTTCAGTTCACGCCACACATTCAGTTCATCAGAGCTTGGGGTCCGGTACGCAAACAGGATGACTTCTCGCTCTCCTTTCAGCTCTGTTGCAACACGCATACACAGCGTAAAAGCTTTTATGGCCAGAGGTTTCTGAGGGACCATCTCAACATAACTGGTGTCAGTCTCAGCAGAGAACACCAGGCTCTTAATGTTAACACTCTCTGAGAGACAGGAGACAGAAATTTTGTCAAGTAAGTGCACAGAGATGCAAAGAGCAGGTGACAACAACAACAAAGATTCTTGGCCTTGAAATTATGGTGCTCATGAAGATTAATGTGTTTAAATCAGTTTAAAAATAGATGCAAATTAATTTTCTGCTCTTTAACTCTTTAGTGAATTGACTAATCATCTTAGCTGCAGACTAAAGCCCTCAAATAAAAAAACAAAATATGCTTTTTTTCCACACACTGACATGCACATAAAGAGACAAAGGAAAGGTGATACAATTACCGGTCAATGCCATAGAGATGACAGTGAAACAAAGGAAGGCTGAAAGTCTCATTTTGTTGTAGCAAACCTGTTAAGAGAGAGACAATATACTCAGTGACAAATTCCACTTATTTTCATGCATCAATTAAAAAACAAATTCTCTGCAGTGTTTGTAGCTTTAGGGAAGGTTATATAAAGATGTAAAAGTAGAATGAGGCAGTATATGTACCGTGTCCCTATGAAGACCCTGTAGACAGGATAATATGGCACAAATCTCACCTTTATGTGATTTGTCTTAGTGTATTTTAGCATAATTTTCTCCTTGTTGTAGTGCATGATTCGAAACGCTGTGTCGAAGCCTGTAATAAAACACCAGTGTCACGTGACCGATGGAACGTCGTCACTGCTCCACATAGCCACATGTAAATAGTTAGGCTAACAAGCTCGTTATGGTTAACACATACCAGCAGTGAATGGAGACTGGGGGCAAAGGTGAAATGATCACTTCTCTGCAGGTTTATGCTAGTTTGGTGACTGTTTAGATGTATTCCTCCTATTGGCTTTTTACTCACGGAGGCTTTCAGGTGTTCTCACCTTGAATAATGCTTCATTTCGCCCACTTCTCTCTCGCAGTGGTCTGATAAAATTGTGTGACTGATAAAATTGGATCATATCAGTGTTCAGAGGGTAGACAAACTGACCTGTAATTGTTAAGTACACAAATTCAAGGTGTTTTCCAGTAACATGCTACTGAATGTTATAAAAAAAAAAAGAAAAAGCAAAGTTCAAAGGGTATAAATGAGCAGATTAAATAAGGTAACTACTGTTTTCAGCCTTTTGATGGACAGTTTAAAGTCCAAAACCTACAATGAACCGGTCACAGGTGTACACTAACAAATCATGTCTGTCTGTCCAAAGCTTGATATTTATCACATTTGGTCCAAATATACTCTAAAATGTTCTCTTCAGCTCAGAGGAGATGCTCTGGCACTGTTGCCAGAATCTCATGGACACCCAAGGCTCACTAAGGATTGATGAGGTTGGCCTACTGTGTATTAAACCTTTAAATTCCATTTGTACTTTTCAAAAGATTTAAAAATAAAAAAATCAGTTTGAATCTTTGTTAAAATGGTTGAAAATGAGAAATACTATACATTGGTCTCTCAGACAGTGTAACTATGGAAGCAAAGAGATTCACACAAATGCACCGTGAGGCTCAGAGCGACACGAGTGCCAACCAACTGCTGATTGGTGTGGTTAAGTTTGATTAAATCCCACTTACTCTGTCCTACTGTTGGAAATAGTGGCAGACCACATGTTGATTGATCCCTAAGAAATACATTTCCTTAGGTTTGAGCAAATATGCATATAATCTTTTTAATAGCATTTTAATTACTTTAAATTCATTACATTTAAATAGGCTGGGGTTTTTTATGCAACTGAGCAAGATTTGTAATTGTATAATAAGAGTTTAAACATGTCATTTTAACTTTGAAGCTTTTCCAACTGCAAATCACCTAAATCAATATTAGGCCTACTGGCTCAGACTGAGGCTACAATCAGAGGTCTGTAAATAAATGTTTTATTTGAGTTCTGCTGCTGCTGCCACCAACATTGTGTCCTCATCAACATATAGTTGAATATTTATTTTTCCAGTAAATTAATGTATCAAACAATAGAATTTCAGCACTTTTCAATTCATTAAAGAAACCCAAGTCTGCTAAACAAATGAATAGAGTGAACTATGCTGAATAACACGTAGCAATGTTAACATACTGATCTCTTCTCCAGCTCGGTCTCTTTCACTGTCGGTGCTGTATTTTTAAAGATAAATGTGCGTTAATGTCACATTATTTGCTAATCTACTGGATTAAAATGCCAGCTATACTCTTTATTTGTTGCCTTGGTGAGTCATGGTATCAGAGCTCTACTGATGAAGGCTTTTCACATCACCTTGGAGTTGATTAAACTACCACTGATCAGCTGCTCTGGAACTGAAAGCTCTGCATTTCCCATCAGAGTTAGTAAACTTACAGTTCAGGGTTAAGTTCAGTCTGTTGAACCAGCTTTCTGGAACATGCCTCTGGCTATATGCCCAGGATAACTGAAACATCTGAGACATTTCCAGTAAAATTTGTGTATTTAAAACATGACCTTTCAACAAACTTGTGCAACTTCCCATGAGGCCCCAAAGTATGTTTGTAGCTCTGTATAAGGTGCTATACAAATGTAGATTTGCCATGAAAAGTAAGTACTGTATTTAGGCTAGATTTAGGCTATGGATGCTGCAGCACAATCAGTGAGTGAAATACAAGGAGTCTCAGACCCCCTGAAAATCTCAAAATGAAATTTCAGTGGGGTCTCACATGTGCCTAGTTATTTTAATATGATGTATTTGCATTACTCTGCTATCTGATGTTCTGCCAGTCAGTGTGTCTGCTAGAAGCTCTTGAAATGGACCAAATGTTATTTCTATTATGTGTGGCTCGTGCAAGTTCAGGAGAAAACCAGGGACTGAATTTAATTTTTATTCTAAAAGGCTCTGGAGGCCCAGATAAATGCAGTAATGCATTCTACTCTGCCCTGATCTGTTACTGTACCCCTGTCCTCCTCACCGGTCTTTCTGTTTTCCCCCTCCTTCACCTGCACTACCTGCTGTGCTCCCTGTTAAGGGCAGTGTTGGGGAAACGACTTGAAAATGTAACTTTGCAGACTATCAATTTCTTCAAACTGGAAGCAGTTAAGCTACAGCAAAGCTACTCTAGAGAGAAATGTAGTTTGGTAAAGTTCAAGTAAAAGTAGTTCAAACTACTTTGTAAAAAAAAACAACAACGGTAAAACTGACAATGTACATGTAAAATTACAACATAATAAAAGAAAACTCACATGGCAGCAAAAAATGACACGGTTAAGTTTATTTACCTAAGACAAAAAAAAAAAACTGTCCTAAAAATTCCCGTCTGGGCTTTTTACAATGATATTATATATTTCTTGCAAACAAATTATATAAGTGCACCTTGACCCTGTGACTGACTTGAGCACTGGTCTAAAAAATATGAGCTTGTTGTGTTACTTGTCAGTTTTGCAACATCTCACTTGTGCAAACATAAAAACTAAAACAACCTTAGGGCATTTTGGGGGGTATTTTTTTCTTTCTTGAGGGATACTGGGTTAATAAATTGAATATGAAAGTTTGGTAGTTAGTGTAGATTATCTTGTCCCAAAATCCTGTTCAGAAGGTGGCGGTAATGCGCCTAACGTTGCTGGCCAACCACCAAAGATATGAGAAGAAGAAGAAGAAGAAGAAGAAGGAAGCGAAGAAGAAGTGGCTGTAATCATGGCGGACCAAAACAAGGCAGACACGGGGGAGAGTTTATACAATGAAATACTAAGGTACTTGGTCGCGTTCATCGGCAAACTATTGTCACTGTTAAAGCTGGTGGCGATAACTCTTCCGTCATTTTCACTGAGTGGCTCTTGTATATACATTTCTCTGCCTCGGACATAATTAGCGCTTGTCCCTTGCACTTGGTGTGACAGGTTCTTTAATTATTGAGTAGTGTTACATGCACATGGAAACATTAATTAACTCACTGCATACCTCGTTGTTAAAACGTATAAGGTGGCTTTGTAGTCGTAGCTTTTAAAGAGATGTAACGTTAGTGGTTCCTATTAAGTTTTTGGTGACATGGTATTTTCCCCCCCACAGACCTCTTAGGTGGCCTGGGACACCTCTCAATCCATGCAGGGTTTCCTGTGCCACTGGCTGCCACGCAACCACAAAGCACATATTTCCATCCCCTTCTCACAAGATGTTCTTTACACAAATGCTACTTTTTAAACCACAACTTTGGTGAATCTGACCAGAGAGCTCAATTTTAACATCATTTCTCCACAGCACCTTTCTCCCTAACTACTCTGGCTAGATGTTGCTTTACATACTTTAGACATTGACTTCTGTGATCATGTCACAGGTACTGTAAGGCTTTCCTTTTCCCAGTTTCTCTTTTATGCAGACCCTGTTTGTGCACCACCATTCCTGTGTCAGTTAAACCTTTCTGCAGCTCCCTTGCAGTCATGTGGGGGTTTTGCTTTACCTTTCTGACCAGTAGATGTGCAGTTTCATCTGAAAGTTAACTTGGCCTTTCACATCTAGCTTCATTTCAGGTCCTCAGTCAGTTGTTAAGAGGAGTCTGTGGTTGTTGAGTGTTGCTGCTAGATTTGAACAGAACACTGAAGAGAAGAGATATAGGCTTTTTCAGTTCTGGAAATGTCATCAGCAGACAATTCTTGACCTGAAGTTGTAATGTGTTGGTTAAGGCTTAACAAGTCAATGACATTCACAAGTAGAAGTAGAGTACAAGTAGAAGGGTGCCCAAACTTAACTGATTAATTGTTTTTAAATAATTAAGTTTATGAAACAAAAGGTAACAGTGAAGACAGGCTCTTTTTTAATTTCTGTTTGCCAACAGGATTGAATTTAACTTATTTTCAGGTAAAAATCAACAAACTATAGAATTTACTCAAGGGTATCCAGTCATATTGACCTTGAATGTTTAAACAGTTGTATTGTAATTATAGCAACATGGTAAGAATAGGTTAATTGATATTGATTGGCCACATTTGGTTGATGCTCAGTACTTCTAAGAAGGTCAGTATCATGGGTTAGTACTGATCCAGTGCCTTGGGTTGGCAGATTGAAACAAAATGATGTTTTAATTTTCTCCAGAAGACATTGTTGTACAGATCGGGAGATAAAATGTCTCCCTGTGTGTGATGTTGAAGTTTTCTTTGTCTCTTTCTTCATTGTGCTCCTGTAGACCTTTTGTGTCTTATGGAACTGTAACAATGACCAACTGCTTAGAGTCAACACAGTCGCCATGATTACAACCAAGTTAATATTGATGTTTTTTTTTTTTTTTGTTATCTGCTGATGAAAACATCAAATATTAGATGCCTGGAGATGAGCGTTGTCCTCTCTCTTTAAATTCCAGTCCGTCTGAGCTGTTTGCAGCCCGGTCCAGGAGTCACAAGGTCCCAGTCAGAGGACAGAAGGACTTCTTCCCTGATGGCTCAGAAGAGCAGAGACAGCGGCTCGAGCAGAGTCTGAATGAGCACTGGAGCCTCATATCAGAGGAGAGAGTGGAGAGGCTGTGAGTAGGGGTGGCGTCCATCCAGCCACACTCTTCAAACTTCTAATGATGCATTCGAGGATGTTCTGGCAGATTCTGAAGCCAGTTGTTAAAAAGTGTAACATCCATGAGTTCTGTTGTGTGTACAAGCTGACCATGCAAGACAAACAATAAGTAAAGACATATTCTTTGCAAAGGACAGTGCGCTTGAGACCGTTGTCTGTGTGAGTGTATTTGAATGCACCAACACAGGGGAGTTAGCAAAGTAGCCAGTCAGTTGTTGAAGAAATTAGACCATCTCTTAGCTAAAGATCCAGAAATTTTTGTAAAGAGTGTGGCACAAAACCAGAGCTAATTGGAGTGTGAATATTAGACTTGGAGAAACAAAAACCACTTCAAACAAAGGCAGTAAGCAGTTATTTTCATACGACCATAATGACTTCATAAGGTGGTTACGTATCAGGGCTGTGGAGTTTTTCACCTCTGGTGGATAGAAAAATCTGTTAACTTTTTTGTTTTATTGGATGCTTTGTCCATAATGTTCAGTATGTGGATTTATGTTAAAATAGTAAGTTGTGTTGCACTGACATGAAACGGATGCTGTCGGTCTTTATTTTTTTTACTGTAGAGGAAGCCTAGTGAAGGGCGCATGGATTCCAAATGACCAGGTTGTGGAGCTTCAGTCTCCAGCTGTGAGTATGGTATCACACCAAATGAGACTCACTCTGTGATAGGTTTTGCACTGCGTCTATCACTTATTGTTATAAATTCTTTGGCAAAGTTCAAGTTGTTTTTTTTTTAAATCGCATAGGGAAAGTTTTGGCAGACGATGGGCTTTTCTGCCAGTGGCAAGCAGTGCCTCCTCCCTGAAGAGGCCCTCTACCTGATGGAGTGTGTGAGTTCCAGATGAAACCTGTTCTCCAGGGTGTGATGTATCTTAGGATACATCATTTTTGGTATTTGCTCACAAATACTTATATAACACTGAAATAGCGCTGCTGTAATGCATGTGATCCTTACATCTTTGCAGGGAAACCTGCAGGTGTTTTATAAGGACCTCCCTCTGTCCATCCAGGACGGGTATGAGAGATTTCTGTCCTCAAACACAGTCGGCCTCCAGCAATATCTGGTACAAATATTTGTCCAATGCATATTCTGGAAGAGGAACACAATGCTCAACTAGTCTAACAACTGTTTTTCGCTGCAAGGTGTTTGGGCATTTGAAGAGGCTTGGATATGTGGTGCACAGGTTTGATCCCAGGTAACAGAACCTCAAAGCCTCATTCAGATGGGACTGGAAATACAACTGGGCAAAGAAATAGAAGATAATATACCTGAGCTTTAGGGATGGCGGTGGTGGTCTGTCCAGTACTGTGGCCCAATGTATATTTTACTCATCGTTCGAGTATCTATATATTTAAAGCATTTTTAGACATGTACTTTGGAAAAACTAATCCTGCCCAAATGGTTCTTTAGTGACTCACAATGTCGGATGATGGCACTGTGGAGGTGCAGGTTTTTGATATCAACTGAATGTATGTGTTGCTTTTGGCTCTTTGTAGTTCAGAGCCGTCAGCTTACGCAAGACAGCTGAACCTGCCTCAGTCAAGTGCCAGAGCGGGAAGACAACTGAAGAGGAAACGCAGCGCCAGCCCCACCCCCACCCCATCATCCAGGTAAACAGGGGGCCTATGCAAAGCCGTTTCCTGTTTACTACTGTTGTACTGCATTTAGTGTTTTGTGTTTTATTTGCAGAAAACTGAGTGTGAATGATTGAATTTGGATTGTAGTTTGGAGCTAATATTTTATTGTTCAGTTATTGCTCAACCAAAAAAAGTGTTAGATAGTAACATTATTATTTTTTTTCTTATTGAATAGGCTTTGGTTTTTTGGTGGTGGGATTACAGGAGAACACCAGTGATTTAAAGGTGCAGTGTGTGAGATTTAGTGGCATCTAGTGATGAGGTTGCAGATTGCAGCATTCAGCAAACCTCTCAAACATTGTGTTAAACAGCCTCACAGCGATTACTGTAAATGTAGGACAAATTGCACACCTAGAAAACGAGTGCAGCTGACTCAAACAAGCAAGAGCTAATGGTGGCTTGCTTGGCTGCAGCACTGGCCGTGTTCTAACTAAAGTTATCAAACAGAAACTTGCATTTAGGCTAACTTTACTTGTTAGGCTAAATTAGCTGTCCGGCAGAAAATGGGCAACTTCGGTATCATTCTGGAAACATTTGTCCCTCATCAAGGATTTCCATCTGGGAAAGGCCACACCAGTGTTTTTCCTTGTCTTGTGCCATTACCTATCTTGTTTCTTTGTGTCTTTGTTTTGACAACAGGGATTCATGCCATCTTCCTTTTCCTGTGTTAAAGTGTAACTATTATCCTTCATTTCTCCCAATTAAAATTCTAAAACTCAAGACAGTTCTTCCTCTTGTTTCTAACATTACTTCTTCATCTTACAAGCGTCTCCAAATCATTACTCCAAATTCAAGCTGCTGCTATACTGCATACTATAGCCAATTTTTGCCAATAAATCCTTCTGATCTTACACACCACCTGTTACTCTGCCTTTCAAAGTTGGCAGAAATAAATTGCCACATGAAAAAAGGAAACTGTCTTCATGAATGCTAATGAGAGTGCCCTACATTTAGTACTGGCAGGTCTTTGTTGCTCTCTGCTAGACAACGCTGAGATTCGATACACCTATTTGCTGTGCTGTGACGTGATTTCACTGTAGCATAGAGAAATCATATCATATTTATGTAAATCTGAGGTTTAAACAGTGTTTGTTCCATGTGTAGTCATACTGAAGCACAAGAAGAATGCACCAGTGTCAGAATGGAGGAGGACAGCTGCAGCTACGAAGGTGAGAAGGATAAAGACCTTCCAGTGTCACAGCTGACAGCCTCCCGAGAGACTTCTAAAGTGCACACTGCCACCACAAGTACAGCAGCAGAAGGCAGGGGCAGCACATGGTGGAGGACAGATGTTCTGGGAGACTGGGGACACAGATCAGATCACAGCTCCACTTCTGGTTCCTCATGCTGGGACTTCAGCTCCATTCATTTCCCTGACCTTGGCTCCAGGGAGCACCTCCCCAGCTGTCTGGCCTCTCCAGACCCCTCTCTGTTGCCTGGGGCTCTGGCTGTGGGGGTCTGTGACACTGCCCCCTGGAGGCAGAGAATAAACCTGCGGAAGGTGAGGATGTCCTCAAAGGAGCAGAAGAGGGAAGAAGACAAGCGTAGGCGCCGGCGGGATGTGAACAAAGACAGGGAGGTTTGTAGAAAACTGATTGTAAAACTCAGCTAAAAGATGTTCTACACAAATCACACTGGAAATATCTGGGAAATCATTTGTCAATTTTCAAGTCATATAAAAGCAGCACATTATGGGGGATCACATTCTGAGTTCTTTTAAGGTTCAGCGGTGCAGAAACTGGGCAGAATATCAGGAGCTCCTGGTGAGGCGGCAGAGCAGGCGTAAAGGCCGACCAGCACACTTGTGGAACAGAGAAGTCATGCCTTTACATGACCCGACACAGCCAGTCTCCACAGGTGAGATCACAAGGGCCTTGTGAGTAAAGTCATTTCAGAGTTGGTTCAGATTTGGGTCAGTGACATTTGTTTTTTCATTGTAGGGGAGCTGTTGGATAAAATCAGCGTGATCAAGTCTACAACTTTGCTCGAGGAGGCGTCCAGGTATCACTTATTTCGTTTTTTTCCTTATTACACTGAACATGGGTAAAAAAAAACAATGTTAAAATGTTCGACTTTACCCAATATCAGTTCAGTCAGGAAAGCAAGGACAAAGGAGAAATATGATCTTAAAAATATGTAAAGAAACAAAGGAGTGAGATGCTGCGTCTCTGTTGTTTGTCCCTGGCTGGTTGTCCTCTTGTACAACATATAATGACCTTGTACTGTGTGTGTTCAGGATAAAAGGATCAGATGAGTGGAAGATTTCTTTCAATGTTTATCAACCTGATAGTGTGGCTGACTTCAAGAAGAGCAACCCAGGGAAACCATATGCTCGGATGTGTGTGTGCAGGTGAGTCATTGCACAACTGCCTCAGGCCGTGTTTACTCAAGACTGGTGTACAAAAAAGAATATTTGACTTAGAAATCTCAGTGGTTGGAAATGAATGTGTCGTTTGTCTCACTTTTCTTTTTGTGACCAGTGAATCAGGTTTTTTTTTTATTTTTTAGATTATTTGTTTAACCTTGTAAAATGTCAGGAAATGCAGATGTACAGGATAAATGACTGACTAGTTCATTGCCATAATTGCTGTTGTTTTGAGCTTCTGTTCATCAACTACAGTAACTGATTAATTAACTAGGTGATACAGAGTATGGCTTGACTTTGGATAGAATACACTGATTCTCTCCCTTGTTGCATGTCAGTTTCGAGAATCCCGTGCCAGACCTGCGTGCCATGAAGCTGCTGGCCTTCCAGAGTGGAGACATCCCAGTAGTCTTTGCAGTGGTGGACCATGGGGACATCTCCTTCTACACATTCAAAGACTTCCAGCTGCCAACAGATGTGTATCTCTGAGACCTCACAGCTCTATAATCATCACTGTAAAACATTCACACATATCCAATCTATAAAATTGCCGGTATTTGTGTCCTAACAGCAATTTACAATGGGATCTGCAGGGCTGTGGTTTGCAACAGTTTTTTTTATGCTAATGGAGTTGAAATTCACCAAAGACAAACTACTTGTAAATTCTACACACGGAGAAGTGAAAAACATGTTACCAGGAATAAAAAAAAGTGGATTTATTGGTTTGCTTTGCTTACGTGGTGCCTATAGAGAAGAAGGTGAACTATTAAGTTGACCAGGCCAGCTATTATTTTGAGCCACTGCAGGATTCATTTAAAGCACCACCACATTTCCTTCTAGCCCACTGCTGAATTTCAACCAGCTTATCAGTTGAATTTTAAAGCAGTCAGATGTGAGCTAGAAGGAAAGTAACAGACTTTGCAAGCTCTACTAGTCTTGTAGTAAACATGAAGTCAAAGAATCAGTACTACTTGCATTTTATTGAGTACAAGTTCAAAACTGAGGAAAGAGACAACAGGTTTTACGAAGTGTGTAGTTATGAATGAAGTAGTAGGTTAACTGACGTCAAATATATGTAATGTCGGTGCAGTGAAAATACAATATTTGCCTAATTGGAGTACAAATAACAGCAAATGGCAATACTCCAGTGAATCCGACAGGTAACTGTGTGCAATGCAAGGAAATAGGATCAGTACAGCGTGTTATTTCATTCAGGAAGTATGCAGAGGAAAGATTAGAAATGATTACTCAATTACAGAAGCAAGGACTATCAGAATGTAGTTTGAAAGGTATTTTAGAATATGGAAGTAGTGAGTTGACGTGGACTTCCGACAGGAGGTAGCAGTAATGCAACACAAAGGATGCCAACTGCCGTAAACCCTAAGAGAAGAAGAGGTATTTCCTGTGGATGCACTTTATAGCTTTTTTGCAAACCTTTATTAGAACCACAGTAACATCAGAAAAAGAAAGAAAAAGAAGTACTTGAAGTGTAAAAATGACCAATGTAAACAAAAAGCTTACAGAAATGGAATAATACATCACTTATTCATTGAAATATTTCATTTAACAATACCTTCAATAACACTTCTCAAAATATGAGATGTCCATAATGCTTTCTTCTTATAAATTCTACAGAATAAATCATAAAACAACAGAGATTGTTTTGGATGAAGCTCAAGAAATCTGGCCTTGTGGTTATGATGTTTAATTAAATTCTTAATTTCATTGTTGTACGATTATACATTCAAAAATAAGGAAGTTTGAGTCCAAAAATTACTTGAGGAAGTACAAGAGTAAAATAAATGAGATAAACACTCAGGTTTGTTTTTGCAAAACGAACATAGAGAAGAAACATCTGGTCTAAAGTGGTGTATAAATTCAATGCAGGGAGAATATAAGTATAAAACCTTAATACGGACTTCTTTAACCTTAACAACAACAAAAAATGTACATCATGGTGGACACTGAAAACTAGTACCGATAGGCGTGGCTGTTGTGTCACGTGCCTATGGCATATGACACGAGTAGCTCATGTCATATGACACGTCACGCTAGTAAAGGCAACACGACCGCGCGGGGTAAGAGAAATCCAGAAAACATGATTTAAATAGTTGCCGATTTAACCAGCGTTTAGTCATACAGGCCTTATAATGCAGTACCCTATAAGGAAAGTGTAAACACGCTGTGGCCAGTGTAGGGACAGCCGCACGAGGGACTGATTTAGCTGGGAGCATCCTGCTAAATAGCAGCTACATTAGTAAAATACCCTGGAAAGAAGGTGAGCAGTGTTTACTTTGGTTTTCATTAATGACATCCATGTAGCTAGCTATAGGATATCTAGTTTCCCTTTTTTATGGTTAAAACGTTATCCGTAGGTGATAACTCTGTGACCTACGCTGCTAAATGAGTTGCTAGCAAGGAAAATTCAGCTCACAGAGATCAACAGTATCTCATAAATAACTTAATGAAAGCCCGGATAGCAATACACCGTTTAACATTAAGGCGAAACACTATCATGCACACTGTTCATATGGAGTGTCACACAACACACTATCCGTACAGCTGTGGCAAAAGACATTTGTTTTCGAATCTGGGCTGTTTAGTGAATCATGTTTATGCCGAATTGAACATTGAAACTTAAAATATCAGAAAAGTCTTCAATCAAATGTTTAACGTGTGTGTGTGTTTTGCCAATGTTCCAATATTGACATAAACACTAAATTGCAAGATGTGTGCTTAAAGTCTTTTGTCCATACAATATAAAATTAATTTCTGAATTCTTATTCTTGCATTATAGTTAGACCATTAACAACCTGTTTTGGCAGCCATGTACTTAAGATGCCAATAAAGCAAAAATAAGCAAAGGGTCCATCTACCTGCCTGTTGTTTATCCTTCAGGTGAGGCTGAGTGTCATTGACCATGCCAGGCGGAATTACAGAGACCGGGGAACCCTACTCCGCGTTTGTGAGTATCATGCAGAATGGTTTGGTTAATTCCTGATCTCTTTTTGATCATTCAAGGTCAGACACATATTTAACCACCTTACAATTGTAAAAGGAGAGCTCTGTAAAAATATGGGTTGTTAGTAAAATTGTCAGTAGTTTTGAGCTGTAGTGGATACATGTATGAAATGCTGCAGTTCTTTAACAACTGAGATTATAAAGTTGACGTGTCATGTCTTTCTCAGGTGGGGCTGGTGTATATGTTCAATCTGATTGTGGGAACAGGAGCTCTCACGATGCCCAAAGCCTTCGCCACAGCTGGTTGGGTGGTCAGCATAGCACTTATCTCTGTTTTAGGATTTATGAGGTAAGCACTGTTCTGCCTCAGCCTGAATTCATGAACAGGACAGAGAGTACCTGTAACCGGCTTCACCCGCTTTCTATTTCTGACATGTTTCATTTCTTCTGCTGTCTGGACTAGTCAGTTAAAATTAGCAAAAGTTGATAAATTTAATATTTTCTCAGAATCAGCTTTATTGGCCAGGTGTGTCGTACACACGAGGAATCTGACTCTGGTGCATTGGCTCTCAATGTGCATGTACATATCCCCATGCAAGGGCAAGTAAACAGTAAACCAACATAAGGCTAGTATAACAAGATAAGCAGTATTAACAAGCAACAAACAGTGCAAACACTGCAAAATAAACAGTATAAACAGGCAGTAAACAATGCAGGCAGACAAAGGAATGCTCATTGTGAAACAAGATAAATAGGAATAAAAATAGAGACCTGTACGGATCTGTATAATCTGTACAATGTATATTTACAGGTATTGCACTGAGGAAAGGTATTGCATTGAGGGATATTTTGCACACAACTATTGAAAATGTTTTGCATTGTGAGGCCCAGGGGTTAATTTGTGCCAGAACAAGCTGGATCTGGCGCCAAATTGTGACTGACACCTATTATGGTGCCCCTCGTGCAGGACTCTGGGAGGACATTTGTCAGTTATTGGTCAGTTCTGGCTAAAACTGAGAAACTGCTAGCTGAATGTTTTGTACGCTGGTCTTTGCTGATGATAAATGGCCTCAGAGTTTAGCCAATCCATGCATTTTGCTGAAGTCACAGTTACTTGCTGGTGTGCTCAAATAATTTTTCACTTTTCACTCTCTCATACATGTATTTATTTATTTATATACTTTAGAATGCTGCATTATGAAGAAGAGCGGGGCTGCAACACTAGTGGTTTCAGATGGACAGAACACAAAGTACAATAAGACTGGATCTGATTTGATCCACTTGGATCTTTACAGAAACATTATTTGGCTCGAAGCAGTGGTTAATGTTGGATAGCTTCTCTTGCCAGACGTTTTAGTCACTCTGTGGCTGACTAAATTTGTTATGGCAAAAAACTTTAAAATACGAGCTCACTGGATAGTAGGCAATCTTCTCAGAGTAATTATATAACAGTTAGTCCAACAGAGGAGGGTCTCTTCCATAAAGTCCAAACTATCCATGTGAGATCGGTGGCTTGGTAGCAGTACAGTATATTGGAATAAAGCAGAACCTAAGAAGACTGAATTCAGAACAATACAGTTTGTACTATGCATCCATGATTGATATATACTGTATGTAGTTGTTTTTAAATTTTAAATTTGACTTGTGTTTCCAGGCCATGTTTAAAAAAAACAGAGGCATTGTGCTGTTTTAATGCAGAAACAGTTTAATTTCAACAGGAAAGCAGGCATATGCTGGTACAAGGCCATCGCCTCCATGTTTATGTTGTCTCTGTTACTGTGTGTCAGAATGACAGAGAAGGTCTGGACATAGTTAATTTGAATATCAGTGATTACTGGCTGCTTGTTTGTTAAAATTTTAATCTGCTTATCCTTTATTCCTTTGACAGCTACATGACCACCACCTTTGTGATTGAGGCAATGGCAGCGGCCAATGCTCAGCTGCGTTGGAAGAGGAGGGAGCAGGAAGAGGTGAGATCAACTTTGAGAAGGGGGGCAGAGTCTCATTTGATTTTTAAACATTTTAAATAAACCAAACCAAACATTAAAGATGGAAATGTTTCTCCCTGTCGGGGAATTTGGCTAGTAAGACATTAATCCAAGCTCTATTTAAAGGCAATTTGTGCTTTGGACACCCGTGTGCCTGCAAAGGTCGAGTGACATAATTTTCATCATCTTCTCATGTCTGCGTGTACTCTGCAAAGATGTTCGTGTGCAGGCCAAAAGTTTATGGTCCGCACACCAAAAGCCCCAACTTCACATGTGCCACAATCCTTGGAAACATCGGTGTATGCAGACAGAAGGTAGACTCTCGATTTAAAATATGAATAAGAATGCGCCTGCGCACCCCTTGTCCTTGTCCGCATGAGGGTATCTCCAAAGCATGAATTCCCCTTTATACCTGCAGGCAAACATATGGAACTAATGTTAGTATGAAAAGAGTGGAGGGAGATTTATAGTGGTTATCTCCAGTTAATATGCTTTTAGGTCTTGTTTTGTGATGCATTGAAGTGTTCGGGCAGCTAATTACTAAATGTACTTCAGCATTTTTTTTGTACCTGTGAAACAATCTGTGTCCAAGTAAACATCAGTGCAGAGTGATTTCAGTCCGGGAGTGTGAAATTAATTTTCTAGCTGTGTGCTTATGCAGAACCACATTGCAAGTCAAACTGATAAGAATCTTTTTTTTTTTTTTTTGGAACGTGCCACATCTAGCTTGTATCTGATTCTCCAAAACAGGCTTATGCAAATCCTGAAATGGTAGAGATGTGGCTGAGAACAGAAATGCTGGATTATTTGGGATCATGCTGTGTAGTCCATTAGTGCACTAACTACTGCTATGATGCTGCTTTACAGTGGATTTGTATTCCAAGTATATTTTGCTGGTGTAATTTTTAATAAAAAGCTTTACTCTCTGTCAGTAAACGTGTAAACAGTCTATCCTGTTGAGTTGAGGTAAAGCTGGATCATGGCAGGTCTGCTAACTGATATCTAAGGAGTAGGTTTTCGTTATAGTTTTCAACCCTTGGTGTCACCACTGTAAACACTAGATGAATATTCATCTTGTATGTGATTAGGCTGTAAGATAACTGAGCATCTCTTTGTTAATGTTTTGTTTACGTTCAGTTAAGCAACCCGGACTAACGTCAGAGGTCAGACTGACTAATCATAGTTCTTGTCGACTCCATTTTTTTTTTTTTTTTTTTTTTTTTTGGTTTGTTTTTTCCTGTAACTGCTGTAGCTCCAATTCGTAGTTAGGAGGAGACACATGGCAGCTATGGCGTAGCTGTGTGTGCGGACGCCATAACACTCAAAATCCCCCTTTCCTAACATTACAACAAACCAATGTCATGACTGATGTGTAAAACTGGTCCATATCTTTCCTTGAAACTTCAGATTTTTTGTGCATTTCAAACCTCCGACGAGCCAACTTTAAACCATTGCTTTCCCTTTAAATGTCGCAGGTTATAGTACCAAGAGACACAATTGGCTGCTTTCCTCTGTCTCTTGAAATCTGTGATCATCTTTGTAGTTTCACCAGTTGTTGAGCCGAGCCAGCTCACGAGATCAGACGGCTCTCTTCTTTCTGCTGAGTTCTCAGATCTTGTTTCTGAGACAACTTCTGTAGTATTATCAGTAAATGTGTGACATGTGACAAAGTAGATTAAAGATAATTGAACTTATGGTAAAGACACAAGGACAGATCATCCACTGATCTGATGCCTCTGTAGACAAACTGACGTCGATCAGGTTAAAAACTAAAGTAGATTTCTAAGCTGTCCGTTCCGAAAGCTTTGCGAATCCTTGCGGTTTCAGAATCTTTAATGTCAAGTATGTTAAAACGCAAGGCAAAATGAGAAAAATTAGTAAAGTCAGAGGCAATGTGTAATTTAATGCTCACAATGCTGAAGTATTTCTGGAGCACCAGGACTTAATGACCTTTATTATCAAAGATCTTAAAGCTTATTACCCCAGCTTTTCTTTGACATTTGATCTTCTGCCGAGGGAAATAATGGCTTTTTTCATTGTTTGCCCAGTAAAAATGACCAGAGTATAGAATGGACAGCAGTCAGAAAGTGCAAACCTCCACAAAGGCATTTGTGTTTCTCCATAATGGCATAAAAAAATTTTCTGGATTGGTATGATGATCTGAATCTCCATCAAAATGCAATAAATTGTTCCATGGGTCATACCCTGCTGCTCCAAAAACTGCCATCGAATTCTGTTCAGTGTTTTGAGTTGTGCTGTGAACAATCCAATAATTGGTGGTAAAAAAAAATTACCTCCTTGGTGAAGGTAAATATTTCATGTTCCCCTTAAGACGAAGCTGTATTAATTTTTATTTAGAAATCTGTTGTTGTTTTATTGCTCAATCTTGGAATAAGTGGAGTGTGCCTCTTGCCGCCAGCCTATAAGAAACCCAATCCGGATGAAGCCGACAGTTTAGGTATTTACTCAATTACCGAGGGAAACAGCCCAGTCTTCAATCATTTTACTTTGACTTAGAATAGGGCTTTGTTCTCTCTAAATGGCTTGGCCTTTGCTTTTTGTTTCTCCCCTGGTACAGAAGTCATCTTGCTTAATGCCTGTTGGTTTCCAGTTGAGGAGTTATGAGGCTGAGGACAATAGCTCAGCTCTAAGTGAGCCTCGAACCCTCAGCCTTGATTCATGGCTCCTGTACACCTCTCAGCCTTTCCCTCCCATGTAATGGTAAACAGGAGAGAGGGTAAAACTGGAAATGCTTACCACTGAATGGCTTTTATTTCTCTCTGCTTGAGTAAAGCTTATTAACAAAAATAAAGGCATAAAGGTCTTAGATACTCTAAGTTTATTGGGTCAAAAATAGAGACTGAGTCTGAGAATGGTCTTTGGCTGCATTAGATGGTGTAGAAATAGTTCTAAGCCAGTTCATATGGACAACAATGCAGGTTTTCAGGAAAATCTGAAGTGCAGTATTGACATCTGGATGTGTTGTGAACAGATGGTTGAACTCCTTATCGAAGCTCCCAGCTGTGACTGAGTGTAATTGACCTAGATAGCTGGAGTGGCTGCGGAGATGTGATCGCCCTCTCCTGGAACTTTAAGCTGAGTGTGACCAGACTGTATTAATGTCTTTATATTGCACCGACAATGTATTCTGAGAAATTCTCTCTAGCTCTTTATTTTAAGGGTCTTTTCTGTCCTAATAATTTGGTATTTACTGGGAAAAGGAAAATTCTGCCATATAAAATGTCATTGTGCAGACTTTTCTCTAATTTAGGCTTTTTATGTCTCTGAACTGGCGACAGCTATGGCCAGAGGCATTATGTTTTCAGGATGTCTGTCCATCTGTTTCATTCTCGTGAACATATTATCTCAGGAACACCTTGAGGGTATTTATTCAAAATTGGCACAAATGTCCACTTGGATTCAAGGTTGATGTGACAAAGCTCTATATCAGGTCTCTGTGGTCCTCTGTAAAAGTAGTATGTTAGTGAAGATGGCATGTTTTACACTGGAAATTATTTACTAGAATCAAACATGTCAATATAGTGGTAACTTCTTTTAGCCCAAATACCCTTAATATTTTTGATAAGTTCCTGAAGTCCTTCCATACATATACAGTACAAGGCATTTTGGCACTCACAGATGCACAGTAGAGCAGAGAATCGGAGCTCAGTCTGCTTTATTTTGGTCGTCGCTTATCTTAAAATATCCTCGAACTGCTGAAATTTCTTTTCCACCACCTAATGACCAGCTCAGCTAGTGTGAGGTTAATGTAATGCTGCCGTTAAGCGGTGTCATTGCATAGTATTGGGCAGTTGTTACAAGCGCAAGCACTAGAGGGCGGTATCGGACCAGATACCCGATGCTGGTATCTGGATCGGTGCATCCCTTCATGCATGTAAACTGTAACTTGCTTGATGGATGCAACCATGAGGTGGTAATTGTACCTTCCCATAAAATACTGTAGTTTTACTTCTGCCTAAAAAAAAAATAAATAAAATTTTTTTTAAAAACTCTTCATATTGGTCCTGCTCAGCACCAGTTGGACAGAACTGATGAAGCCTATTGAATGAGACGTGAAACGTACCCAAAACCAAGTCCACATGATTTTTGTTTATATTAAATTGTTTTAAATTAAAATCACTATAACTGAACTGCTCACAGCTCAAAGACACACACCTTGTAAAAGGATTCACAACTAGATGTTGATTTCCATTAAGGTGTCACAAGAAAAGGACTGTTAATGGGTGCCCTAAGTTACACTAGCAACAAATTGAAATGAATTAAAAATATCCAACTACAAACCTTCAGTTGAATTTCAGTTACATAGTGTTTTCTAGCAAGTTATAGGAAACTATGAGACAAGTAAAATAAAATTCAACATTATATCATGAAAAAGCCACCAGAAAGTAACTATAGCATGCTTTAATATACTTAGCTGTAATACACTACGAATGTTGGGGGGGGGAGGGTCATAACGGAGGAGACATAACGGTTTATTGCAATTGATCTTAAATTACATTTCTTTTTAAAGTCAAAATTATGATGCGAGTTTCTCACATTGTTTAGCTGTATGTCCGGTTCCACTTCCTTTTCTAAATCATCTACATGAGTTAGAAATGAAACATTCACAGCCACAACGAGGAATCACATTTATTCTTCTGCCAGGTGTTTGAGTTTGTTCTTGTACAACAGTCATCTGACTCGCATCCATGTGCATCATCTGTTATTTTGCCAGGTTGCTTCTGTTTGCGTGTTATTTGTCACGGAGCCATTTCGCTTCTGTCACTCCTCATCTCCTCTGTCCCAGCCAGCGTGTCACCTACTAATCCGATGACACTCACAAAGCTGACACTGACAGCTGCTTGACGTTAATCTGCACAGAATTTGTGAAATGATGAAAAACCATTTGTGGGCATGTGATTGGTGTGAATTGTGCAGGTCTTCCATTCTCCAAAGTGCTTCCCAGCTGTTGGTAGTAATTTCCAGATGTTGCCATCCCCGTGTCACGTACAGATCAGATAAACACCGTTAAAGGCTTGTAAACCGACTGTTGTTTATGTTAAGAAATTAGGAAAACAGGCAAACGCATAATCGAGCTTCACACACTCATGTCATCTCCACAGACTGATGAGAGCGACTCCACCTCTGAGTATTCAGATGATGATGTCATGGGCCGGGGCCGATCAGAGCCGGAGACAAAGCCCATCTTGTCTGTCCGTGAGTATGACCGGTTTTTATAGTGCATACATTTTGTTACTGTCATTAGCACAATTACAACGGGCAGAGTGTTGAGCCCTTCCAAACTGGACCAGACACCAAATACCAAACAGACTTTTTGTCATTGCCATCCAAAACTACCTTCCAAAAGTGATTTATTCAACAGTTTTATGATCTGCCATCACTAGTTAAGGTGTGATTTAGGCACAAGCTTGATGAAAAGTAGAGAAAGATTGTGGTTATGGTTAAAAGGCATCAACACTGAAGGTTTGTTGGAAATAAGAAAAAAAAAGCACTTAATTATTTTTTGCTGGTATATTAAATTCAGTTTTAACTACCTAATTTCCTTTCAGTTGCTGGAGAGTCTAATGAGACTCAAAACGGGCTCCAAGTTGAAAAGTAGGCTGCCGGGAATAGTTTGATGAAAACTAGTTGCACATCCTATACTAATGTGTATTTGTTCTGTTGTGGCTGTGTTTAGATCTTTAAAAGCCTTAAATCTTAAACAGCAACCCTCTCAACACTTTATATCATCAGTCATTGAAGTTATTCATCAAACAATGCTCAGTTCACTTTTTTTTTATTAGAAGTATGATTTAGAAGGAACAAGAACATTGCTTTACTGGTTAAATATCTTGACTGTTGAGACAATATTTCAACACTGGACAGAAGGAACTCCATTAAGACAACAGTACATTTTAATCTCTGCACATAAAATCTGAACACCGCTTCTGGCATTGAACTAATGCTGTTAATGGTAGTGGGCATTTTTGTGTTTCTTTTATTTTTTCTCCCACAGAGAGGCCAGGAGCTCATGTTGATCATTTCAGTATTGTGGAGCGGGTTGAGATGGGTCAAATGGCCTCCATGTTCTTCAACAAAGGTAATGGTTTTCTGGCCTCGAGCTTCTACTCTCACTGCACATTGTTTAGTTAACTGCAGATGCCACCGTTATTAGCCACATGTAACGTTTATGGAGGGGCAGTGAAAATTGTGCGGGACAATTCAGAAATGTTTTTTTTATTTAAAACACATTTTTATGTTCATTCCTCACATTCCCACAGGAAGGATGCAAGGCTTTCTAATTGGATGTTATTATCTATGGACAGATTGACTTTGGTTGTAATTAGCTGTATGAGACCTCATCACTGCCTTTAATCAGGCTACTGAGCATGTGTGTGGGAAGGGGGGCAGCAAACCTCAGTGGCTTGGAAGCTAATGAACTCTCTGCTAAATTGTGGTGGCAAATTGAATGCCGAATCACCTTGAACAAGAGACGGCGAAAACATTGCAGCTTTACATTCCTCATTTACATCGGTACATTGTCCTGGCTGTGTGGGCATGAAACTGCCCCTTCTGCTCACCTCCACTGTCCCCTTGTCTACTTGCATTATGTCGACGACCAGAGTGAGTGAAAGGAACAACAAAAGGTCAAAGCTCTGACAATATCATCTCAGATCTGACACATCTCGTCCTTCAGCGTCTCAACACTAGGTGGAGCAGCCGGCACACACAGTGTAACACACATCCACTCGGCTCACGTTCACACCCACACATAGGAACGCGCTCATGCAGGTCATGCTGTTAAAGCTGCTGTGTGCTTCTAGCCATGCAGCCTCTTGTGGCTCACTTGACTCTTCTGCCTGTTAAAAGTGAGGCACCAAAAATGTATTTTTGCTGATGACCTTTCCCACCGTGAAACAGCCTGTGTGCAGGTGAGGCACGTGCAGGCATCGATTGATAACAAGGAAATGAATTTTCTCTCCTCTCTTGCCTACACTATGGGAAAGCAGCCCGGTTATTCTAATCAGAAATGAGTTAGATGAACACCAAAGGGGAGACGCAGCTCTATTGTCTTTCCTGACTGTACTGATTTGTAATTACAAACATGTATTTATATATTTATGTATTATACCTAATTAAAAGTACTGTAAGGTTGGCTAAAATTTTCATGTAATTTGGTAAGTTTGAGCAAATAGAGTTAAAAATAAATGACATATGTGCTCATTCATTCAATGCCAGCTTTCAGTACTTGACAGTTTCTAATATTCTGTGTTACAGACACAGTTAGTACTTATTTAAATTAGATATACAGCCCTGATGACTTCATTTCTGTCCTTAATTTGTGTCAGTAAATGACTATAGATCTGTTCAGCTGACCTTTTGCCCTAGATGACCTCTGCATGCTCGGGCTAATCATAATTTATGTAAAAAGTCCCATAGCACCGATACAGCTGCAGGTCACTGCTTGCACAAATGCAGTCGGAGTACAATACGTCATGCTGCACGGCTTGTAGATTCCCCTCAGTGTAAAATAAATTCTTTATTCTGCCAATTCATAGGTTGTCAGGTCCTCAAATCGTAATTACCCATTGCGTTTTCTTAGTCTTCTGTGTTAGTTAATTAAATATCCATGCATTTTTGGGTTTAGTGTTTATTAGACAGTGTGCATGTTAACTCACCATCCACTTTATTATGTACACCTGTGACGGACATTTTTAATTATTTTCTGACATTTTATAGAGCACACGATTAATCGACTGAGGAAATAACCGGTAAAGTGATTGATGATAATGATAATAATTTACTTATGGCATATTTATTCTGGTGCTGTCAGTCAGGCTACTAGGAGGATATTCAATCACTTTTAGATAGTTTAAAAAAAACAATGGACTGACAGGCATATGTAGCCCTTTCTTCCTGTGTTCAAGGAGCTAAATAACAAGAACGAGAGTAAACAGCTCCCTTATACTATGCTGAAGTTACAGAACATTAAAACGGTTTAAACAGCACCTCGCTAGTCTTCACAGATAATAAATAGTTACAGAACATTAAAACGGTTTAAACGGCACCTCGCCCGTCTTCACAGATAATAAACTGCAGACATGGTTGCACACTGTCTCTCTGTCCTGAAATGAAAAGGCATCTTTCTTGCTGTTGAAGAGGCACTCTAGAGGGTATTTGACTTCTCCCTGGGCTGAAATTGACATAGCAACAGCAGTAAGGCAGGCTTGGAATAAGGCCATGTGTATTGTATCAGCCTGAACTGCTGCCACTGACAGGAATGTTGATGGAGGCTGGTTTATCTGCACCGCTGTGGAAAGGTGTTTTTATAGCCTTCACATTGATGATTTGAGAGGTGATTAGAAGACGCCTTTGGCTAAAGTCACAAGGAGAGACTAAGAGAGCGCTATCCTTGCATCACCATCATCACTCAGCCTTTTTTTTTTTTTTTGCCTCTGTGATGTACTGGTGAACATGGTGCCCGGGCAAATGGCAAGATTGTTTCTTCAACGGGAACTGTACTTCCCTTGACATATAGAGGACTGTGGCGGTGAAGAATAATTTACTCTCCTGTAACCCAGCCTTCTGTCTTTAATGAGAGCCCAACACATCCATTTTTAATCCTTGAGTGACTTTTACTGAAATGTCATATTTGTGCATTGAGAGCACAGGCAATAAAAATCTGGAGGGCCTGAGCCACTGCAACGGTCAATGAATATGTTTCCTGCGGCTCACAGCCCAGTTGTTTTCCACAAGTCACTACTATTATAGTTACCTGTGTTAGCTTTGTGGAGATGCGCTTTAATTTCATTTCAGGGGGTATATAATGGCTGCCAGTGTTCACTCCATCTGCTATTACAGATTTAGTCCCAGGAAGCAAGCTTGGTTTATGAAAGTTTAATTTGTTTGTCAAAATGAAACCGAGCGAGGACTGTTGTAATCTGTTCAGCCCTGCACGATACATCAGAAGGAAATTCATTTCTGGCTCAAGTCTGAAGAAAACAAGGTTTTCTGAGTGTAAATAAGAACTGGACAACACACCAGTGGGTCAAATTGTTTTCTGTGATCTAGTGTTTTTACTGCATTGTATTGCATTGTAACTCTCCCTACTACTTTGTGTCTGTCTGTCTGTCTGATACATACTTGAGTTGTTTGAATGGGGCTTTCTATATCATAACGCTGAGTTTTCCACTCACAAGCTAATGTTGTGAGCAGTTACAGTACAATAAGATTAGTCTGTCTGAGACATGCTGTTATTGGCTGGCAGTGTTAAGATGTCATTTACATTTATTAAGTTACCGGACCATCGGATTGCATTTATTATGTTCAATGTTTTATGGTCTGCATTTTGTGTTAGCTAATATTATCCCGTATAGTCAAAGTGCATTAAAGCGGGGGAAGATTGTTGTGGGTGCACACGGGAAGTGGGTGGAGTGAAAAAAATGGCGATGGAATGAATAAACGGAGTTGAACCGAGCTGCACGTGTATCATCATTGGAGTTTATTAACATTGGTAGCAGAGGATGGTTTCTAACTACACCGTACCACCAACCTTCGAAGAAGGGAAGCTATATGAAAGCTGGAAGAATGAAGTCGGAATATGGACAAGAGTTACCGGACTGGAAAAGAGTAAACAAGCGCTTGCCGTGGTTTTGGCGCTTTCGGGCAGAGCGCGAGAGACAGCGATGGAAATACCGGTAGATGACTTAAACAAAGACACTGGCATGACCACTTTGCTGACTAAACTTGATGATCTGTTCCTTAAAGAAGAAAAGGATCGGACCTACGAAGCTTACACGAGTTTTGACAGGATTACGAGGGATAGTAGTGTTTCCATGACGGATTACACTATTGATTTTGAACAGCGTTACTCTCGAATGCGTAAGTACAAAATGGAACTTCCGATGCAGTGTTAGCTTTCAAGCTATTAGACACAGCATGCTTGGAGATGAAGGAGCGACAACTAGGACTGACAGCATGTGCAGATCTGACATATGCATCTATGAAATCCGCATTGAAGAGGATTTTTACAGGAAACGTATCAACCCCAACAGTTGGAATCAACAAAGAAACAGCCTGCATAGCAGAGCAGAGATGGCAGAGAAATAAGTTTGCTTCAAAAAATGACAGGAAAAGGCACCGCTTCCGGGAACAAACCCACTTGATAGGTATGGCCGCAGATCAGAATGTGCAGTGTGTCAAAGCACTTTCCACTGGGCCAAGGATTGCCCACACAGAGGTGAACAGGTTAAACTAACAAAAGATATTGAAACGGAGGATATTGAAGAGTACTTTGTACACAAGAGACATTATCTGAAGCTGAAATATTCATGACTGAGTGCTTTGGCACAGCAATAATAGACACAGTATGCACACGGACTGTATGTGGACAGGAATGGTTAAAAAAATACACAGCTGATCTGAGCCAAGATGAGTCATAATTTAAAGAAGACAAACACATAACCATAGGCCTTTCAAGTTTGGAGATGGGAAAGTGGTGTATTCAGTGAAAAAGGTGAAAATTCCAGCAACAGTTGGACAAATAAAGTGCAAAATTGAAACAGAAGTTGTGCCAGCAAATATAACACTGCTGTTGAGCAAAACATCTTTGAAAAGAGCTGGAACGGTGTTAGACATGGAAAAAGATAAAGCTGTGATGTTCAACAAGCCTGTGAAGCTGGAGTTCACTAGCTCAGGCCACTATTGTGTGAACATAATGAATAAAAAGGAAAGACCTGAAGACACTCAGTGTGGAGAGCAGATTTTGACAAGTACTTCAGAGGAGGAGATTTTGACCATTACAGACAAAATGAGCACTAAAGAGAAGCACAAAATCCTATTGAAACTTCACAAACAATTTGGCCATGCTCCTGCTGACAGATTACAGAGACTTCTCAGTAGTTCTGGAAATAAGGTCTCTTGAGTGCAGTGTAATCTTGCAAAGGATTGTGAATGACTGTGAAGTGTGTCAAAGGCATGGTAAAGCTAAACCAAAGCCTGCAGTTGGTATGCCACTGGCATCACAGTACAATGAAACCGTAGCTGTGGATCTGCATGAACTCGAACCAGGTGTGTGGTATCTCCACATTATTGATCAGT